CTTGAATACTTGAGAAGTTAAAATTTGAATAGTTGAATACTTGAATAGCTGAATACTTGAATAGTTGAATAGTTGAACAATTGAATAGTTGAATACTTGCATAGTTGAATACTTCAATACTTGAATAGTTGAATACTTGAATACTTGAATAGTTGAATGCTTGAATAGCTGAATACTTGAATAGTTGAATAGCTGAATACGTAAATACTTGAATACTTGAATAGTTGAATACTTGAATGGTTGAATACTTGAATACTTGAATACTTGAATTCAAGTTTCAAGTATTACATATATGCTATAAACATAGCTCACTATGGGCTACAAGATGCGCAAAACTCCGGCTGAAAAGCGCTCTATCACTTGGGAAGGTTTCCTTGTTAGTTCCTTCTAGAATGGTTCTAGATTTGGGATGTATTCATGATCTTTTTCGCCCCAATAAGCACATACTATGTCCACTCATTAGTTTCGATATTCTTTTGCTGCCAATTGCTACATAAATGGAAAGGTCTTTTGACACAAAAAATTTCTCCTCCAAAAACAAAACCAGGTTAAGTAGAAATACTGCTGTTATTTTAGATGGGCAAATATTACTTCAAAGATCTTTATCGACGTATCAGAAGAGAACACGGAACTGTGAGTTGTGAAGTATCAGTGTTTTCAGATAACTTCAACCCATTACGTAATTATGCTGGTGTTATTATCTACGCCATCGATGGAAAATTCGAATGGGAGAACCATGGTGAGCATAGAAGACAGTATATTCAGGAGAGGCGCATTTATTTATATGAATCCGTTTTATTCTTTCTTATAATGGATAGAGGGCGGAAGAGCTACTGGGCGCAGAGAAAGAAGTTTTTACATCATTATACAATGTACAGACGAATGGCCAGAAGAGTTCTTTAAACCAGTAGGACAAGGAACTGTGCATGACTACCTCTTGAAAAGCGTCACAGGTATTGGACCTGATCAGAATCGCATTGCATGTGGTGGATTTTCTTATCTTCTTGGAGAACTAAGATTTAGTAGTGTTTCGCTGAATTGTATGAACCAAACTGATGCTGAGAGTGATGGAAGCAAATATCTGAGCGATCCTGAAAAGGTCTTAGTCACCTATTGCTGGGAGGAGTACAAAAAATATGGTGCACGTCACGCATTCTTCATCCCGTTTTTTATAGATCGACTATTATTGGACTAGTTCGTCATACTAGAGATTCATACCTTTCTTGCATTCGTAAATAATACTTTTGCCGTTCTTGCTCTTCCAAATACATGTTTACTCATAAGCACATGATATGTCGGCTTTGTAAAAACTGTAATACAGCCGAGAAAAGTTGGTGAATACGGTAGGGTCTTATTTGCCACAATTGTGTTTCCACATTTTCCAGTGAATAATTTTCATGATGTAATCAAGATCATTTTGCACCAAAATCAGAATTAAAATCGATTCAAAATCTTTTATTATAGTTTTCTAATTAAAACCAGATTATTATGCAGGTCAATCGAAATTCCCTCGACTGGAGGGAGGATCATATGAAAAAAATGTCTTTGTATCTGTGTGTGGGTGTGTGTGTTTGTAGACAGGATCAAAAGAACATCGGGGTAGAAAGAAACATCAGGGTCAAAAGAACATGGGCTTAAACTTTCCATACATATGTACCCATAGTTGTGGGTGTAGCTAGGTGTGGCTGGGTGTGGAGTGTGGGTGTAGATAAAATATGATTCACTCACACTCATAACCACACTCCACACCCACCCACACCCACACCCACACCCACACCCACACCCACCCCACACCCACCCTATAAGTGGAGTATACATATGTGACGAAGCTAGTTTAATGTTGATAGAAGAAAAGCAAGAGAGAAAATGTATATGCCATATCACCATAAAAAATTCTTCTTATCTCAGATAATCGTACTTTGCCTTTCTTCGAAGTTACTTAGTAATTATAAATTTTACTTAGCGATTTAATTTTTTTAGTATAATTTCGATTTATTAACTTAACAAAAAAATGTTTACTTAGCAATTATTTATCAAACTTAGCAAACATCTTTTTTACTGAGAACTATATTATTAACTGAGCGTTCAATATTTTTACTTAGGATTCAATTCTTTTACTGAGCAAATAGACATTTTACTTAGCAAAAGCCAACTTAGCATTTTAATATTTTTACTTAACAAACAATTTATAGCCATAATTAAATATAATCAAATGCAAAACAAAAGCTGATAATCAAAACATTGCACGTTGTCACTTGGCTTGTAAGAGAAGATGATCTATCTTCAATCAATACACCGCTGAAAACGCATTTTTTCGCGTAATAATTGATGAGCCTGCATTATTTGAACGTTACTTCACGCATTTCCATCGGTGATTTGGAAAATTTGATCAACAGCTAAGTGATTTAGTCATATTAAAGATTTGAAAACGTTTGTATTATCTTGAGATATAGATCTCTCTGACAGAGTTTGAAAAAACTTCTAGTAAATCGCCATTCTCTAGATCATCGCGATACAAAGTACAGATTTCGTTACAGCAAAATCACAGAAAGTATAAAGGTAGAATGGATTTGTTTATATAAATTTACAATTATCAACCCATATAAATGATTTTTTAACATTTATTTATTATTATTTTTTTTTGGTACAATAAAATTTATTGGTCTTTGTCATTTTGGTTCTAACGAAGCAAGTCCGAGTGTGGGTATAGGTAGCGGTGTCGGTATTTATTGCACAAACATCCACACCCACATCCTTTCTTATTTCTATGGCCAGAACCATTGAAATAATAGAAATCGCTCGGAATCAATAGAATCATGGGATCAGCTGTTTTTGTCCTTGAGTCTTTATCGGGAGCTCTATTCTTCATGTGATTTCACGACGAATTCTTCGCTGTCTATCCCTCGCAATAATCATATTCTACACAGAGGACAAGAATAAAATATATTTATCTGCTCAACAACATTAAAAAATTTAAAAGATATTCGATTCTTATGTTTATTTAATTCTTATGTTGAAGAAACAAATATTGATAAAGACTTGTCAACCTATCAGCCTTATTTTTTTTTTTGGTTCTTTAATTTATCCTCATTTTAGAGTAACAATAATTCGACATTGATAATTATTATTCTTTTTAAGTTGAAATGTTAAATTAATCATAGTTCCATCAAGTTTAATTGAATTACATGTTGTTTTATCAATATTTGTTTGAATAGCTCCATAAAAATCAAGTTGACCTTGTACATCTTTATCTTTATAATTAAATATGTTCACATCAAGTTGATATGTTTGCCAAAGTATCGTTGTTGTATTTTTATTTGATGATATTAAATTTCCTTTTATAGAATATTGAACATCATTATCTTGACCTAGAACAATTGTTTGATTATAATTTACTGGAACATCAGGTAAATTTGATTGACCCATCAATACTTGATTATCACGAATAGTTAAAATTCCAGCTGGTAAAAATTGATCCGATATTAAATCATAATTTCGTTGAAATATACCTTTATATTGTCCAATACTAATACTTGTTGTTGTTTTATAATAAAATTTACATTTAGGATTAACATTAATAAATGGTAAACGAATAGAACTTTTCGGACGTAATGTATAATCATCTTTTAATGAATAAAAATAAAAACCTTTTTGTTCACCATCAAGCTGAATAGATGATGAACTAGTAGGACTCATTCCAGCTGCTATTTGCATTGCTTGGATAGGATAATATGATGGATAAGTATTCGCTAATTGAATATCACCACTATATAAATAAGTATTATCAATTTGATATTCTTGTTGTTGATTATTACGTATGTTGGCATAAGCTCGAAGATTACATGCTTAAATCAAATAGAAAAAAAAATAAAGTACTTCGTTTTTTTTTCAAAATTACTCTATAAAGAACTCACTATTTGTATCTTTAATAAATAAGTCATAATTTGGCGACCAGGTTATACCTCTCATTAAATATGATAATGTACCATTATACTTTGTGTCATTCTTTTTAAATTCAAATTTTAAAGTTGTACCATCTTGATGAGGTCTTATTGATTTATATTCAATTGAACAGCTACTACAATAAAAATAACCTTTTGTTTCCAAATTGTATAGTAACATTGTATTCGGATCAATAATTTTTGCTTCTATAATCTTACAATCACATCGAGTTGATGATCGTACAGTAACTAAAGCATCTTTAAGTGTATCAATGGTATTATATAATTCTTGTTTGATAAATGGTGTTCCATCCCAACTAATTGAACCATCGATTATATTTGCATATTCATCATTGTTAAAATAATATTTGTATGTACCAACACCACTTTGAATTTGTCGAATTTCAGATACACTCTTATAAATGTTTAAGTCAATAGCAAATAAACGATCAATTATGAATAAGGCAAAAACGATGGATGAGAACAACATAGTTATTGAAAGAAACTATTTTAATAGTCTGTTCACATATATATACATGGGTGTATACATAATCATCAAAAAAACATAAAAGCCCACATGATAACCTATTTATTTTTATGTCTTCTATTGATACAAAGATATTTTTTATCGATAATAATAAAATAAAAGCATAAAAAGTTAAAAATAGAACAAAATCTAAAAGAATAAACAATAACACACCTTTCTAATCGTCAAAATAAAAACATAAAATATTGCAATTTTTTTCCCATTATTGAAATATTACTATATATTCCAGGTAAACTTTTTGGTAGAATTTCTATTGGCGTATCGATGTTGAGAGGGTGTAGATATGGGTGTCACTATCATTCTTTGCATATTTCACCAGTCACTCTCATAATCACAACCAAACCCAAGTTCATCCACCGTCACGTACACATTCACATCCCACTCGAACATATCGCCATACAACATCATACACCGTACTTTCAATCATTCACTACACTACAAGACTACATCGACACCCCGAATGGACGAGTTTCGAGTCTGTGGGTGGATGTAGGATGTGAGTGGATGTAGAGTGTGAGTGTAGATAGACGAATTAGCACACCCACATCCACTCCACTTTCACTTTTATGCTCACAGCACTGAACAAAACATGCATGTTGCACATAGTCAAAGTCTGTACAGAGTGTTTGTTCTGTCTCCCACGAGCAATAAAAAGTTGCCTCCTTTTCGCCTTATTTAAGGTCTGCGAAAATATCTGTTACTTATCCATCAAACAGAACTTACAATGAAAAATTGACGGTACTGCAGCATCTCGTTTTCCGTGTCAATCACGTCATATTTTTTTCATTATAAGCATAAAAAAAAGAATGTTTGCGACTCGGCACGACTAGCAGCAGTACACGCTTGACAGAGTCAATTTTACTTCTGAATGCATGAATGACAATTCAATAACTTATTCAAATAGTAATCATCGAATCGAAATAAAACTCAAGATTTGGGGACCAGATAGCCTTGTCTCCTTTACCAAAAGCATTTTTTAAAAACAACTTTCTTCTAATCTTTTGGATCAGAATGTCTCAAGCTCTGATTTTTAATTTTATAAAGACTTTTTTAGTTTTGCATATAAGGATGAAGTTTGACGAAAATAGAAAAGAGGGGACAGAAATGCTGAATCCCAATTATTTATTGTCGTCACACCATGTGACTCTTAGCATATTTAGAATAGGTAAACCTTTCCCATATTAGAAGCTCCAGGCCTTCTGTTGTATTCCGAAAACAGTGAACTTTTTACAACACTAGCATGTTTTATTGGCATTTGAGATCATGAACAACACAATTGTAATCGTTCATCAACGCCGTGTTGGCTAACAGATATTATAAAATATCATAAATTCACTGCTTCATATTTTGTTTTGTTGATGATGGATATTACGATATGTATCGAACATGAAAATACAACACTCTTAGTCAAAGCTTAATTGGCTTCAATCTCTACCACAACACTTTATTAATCTCATTTAGCAATACACAGTGAATAATTGAATAACACGAGCACTATTATGACAGAATGCATTTAATTATTAAGACATACACATAATTTATTTGATACGTGAAAAAGTCTAATCAGACGTAATGAAATCCATACACTGTCTGAAACTATTTTCATATAAAATTATTCTACACTTTCTTCGGAACGCAAATGCAGAAACGCCACTATGGTCAGGAGGAAATAATGTCACACAAATTGAACACGAAAAGTCCTTCAATTAGTCGGTAGCGATCAACTCTTTTCTTGATCTACTACAAGAGAACGTGTTGTTGCATTGCATTTTTTCCACCGAAATAAGAACAGAAATGCATAGAAACCTTCAGTCATTTTTATTTTTTTTCTCATGAAAGTAATACCTGGATCACGAAACTGTTGACATGACGACTCAACAGAAACCATGTTTCGAGTGTCTCACTGTAGGAAAGCCTTTATAAAAGGTGATCAAATATGCCATTAATTGAAAAGAACACATATTCACTCGAAAAACAACATGATACGTCTCTTGGCTACCGTTTTTTTCGCATGCATTGCCAGAAGTACTTCGACAACTCTTCCACCATTGAACGTCATCAAAGAGATAACATCGAATCATTCATACAGTTGCCAGTCGGGTCTCTGAGCTCCAAAGATTCGACTCTGTTCCTCACTGATTATGGTGTGTCAAGAAATATGCCAGATTTACTCTACGACGGAGCATGTGGTAATGACAATTTTTTTTTAAGTCATGCTACAAGGTGACAATTTTAGTTTGTTGAGTGATATTGGCAATGTATCACTTGAGATGATGACGGTGTCAAAAGCGTTCAATTATTTTCGTCTTGTTGGCCGTAATAACGTATTCACTGCAACGATCAAAGTTGTCACTGATCATACGTATGTAGCCTTACTGGCGAAAAGAGAAGTGCGAGCACTAATCACATTTCGTGTTCATACCTATAAAAAAGCGGCCCAATCACTATTCGTTATGCAGTCAAACAGTATGGCATTATTCAATCAGTAAACGAGGCACGCAGTTTCTCTTGGGATGAACCGAACCATTGAACGTAGTATTTTCATTGATAAATGATGATATATCGATTCTCACCTATTATTTAATCATTCAATCATAGAATAAAATATACTTCCAAGCGTCATACATGAGCACTTAATCATAATTGTCGATGACTTTTAGGAGTGGGAGAGACTAAAACTTGGCAGACAATTAGAGACAGACAGTTTAACAGAATTTAGTAGACAGTTTCACATGACTTTCAAAAATTTTCCAGTCTTCCCTCATCGAGAACCATGCACTTAATCTTGGCTTTTGTTATTCAAATCAAATTCAATTGATCAGATCCCGATTGATCTGTCGATCTTTCTTGAATTAGTCTTTCACTGACTCACATCTGTATGATCGTTTCTAGTCATTTACATCGTAGTGAAAAAGAATTTCATGCTAGATCAAGTCTCTTCAACAGATCTGTCTAACTTCTGATAGAATTCAACGATAAGAAAGATATAAAGTCGTTTCCAAAGCTGTATCTGTTGGGTATTGATGTGATCCATTTGCGGGTATGGGTGTGGATGTGTGTATAAATAGATGGAGTGAGTATTCAAACCAACACCCACATACACCACACTCACACACCCACACTCCACAACCACACCTACATCCTTTCTTCAAAGAAAATTATTCATTCAGTTTTAGAAAAGTAATTCATTAATATATCTACATTATCTCATAGACTTTGACATTCGATATCTAATTATATTTCAAATTCATCTACCGCTGATGAATAGAGTAGCTCATGATTTCAAGGTTGATCACTTGTACGTTGTATGAGATGAGAAGCCAAAGAAGCGGTTCAGCTCAGCTATTCTTTTTTTCCCTCTATTATATGTATGCGATCAATTTCCTTTTTGACAGATAGACTGACCAACGATTGATCTAGTGCCTTTTTTCAACTTATATATTCATTGAACTTTTTATAGGATGTCGGTGTGGGTGAAGCGAAGATTTACACCCACACCCTGATTCACACTACAAAAGTAATCGTTGCCTATTTATTTTTAATTAGGCATAAAGAACATAAAAGAAAGGATTCAAGTAAATAACTTTAATTGGTCAATTGGCCATTGTATTGATTGATAATCTACTCATTCGATGACGATTTCATTGAATTCATCGTTGGACCCGTATTCTTCACCATGCTATAATCCTCGTTGGAAGAATGTTGCGAATTAAGAAACATACTGATATACTCTTTATAGCGTAGTTCAATGTCATCGACGGTCATTCCATAATCGTTGAGCGTGTAAGAATTGCGACCCTGCTTTCCCTGAGGATTATCGCGTAGCCATGCAAGCATAGCCATTTCAAACTCTTCTGACCAGGTAAGACCAAAGTGATTGTAAATGCGACGAACTGTATTGATTGGTTGTGCAAGTAGGTCATCGTATAGTATGTCAATACAAGGAATATGTTGGTGATTATGTCGAAATTTGACAATACGATGAATTATAGTATCCATCAAATGTATTATTCGCTTCACAACTGTCTGTATGTTGACTGCTGTATTGGTCGCATTAGAATCGAAATAGGGACCAGCATACACAGTCGTTAGACGACAAGCCGATGGTAGCACTTCATCAAGTTGGCGATGAGTCATGATAAATGAGGCTGAAGGATAGTGTTGCATGAGTTCATCGAGCTGCAAACTATGAAGCGGTGCTTTAAAGAGCCAGTGAGAACGGGGTGTATCGACACTGTTCAACATTTGTATGAATATCTTATGATATTTGTAGATAAAGTTCTTGTTCATATCATCTTCGAACCACACCAACAGTTCGTTATCATCTGGAGCCGTAAGCATAGCAGGAAACCAACTATATCCAGCATGATAAAGAATATATAGATCTTCTTCATGTGTAAAATGAGAATGAGAAGCACGCGTAGCTTGTTGATAATCAGCCAAGCCAGAAGCGTTCAATATCTCACGGAATCCTTGTGCAGCAGTATTGCGTTGCATCTGTCCAGTAGTGTCCGACCGTGCAAGTGGTGGCACAGGATGAGCCATTTCCACATAGAGTGGTGCTCGACATGCTGGATCACAAGCCATTAAGTTGTAGAGGAGTGTTGAGCCAGTGCGAGGTAGACCGCATAGAACAAGTGGATGTGGCATCAAAGTTGCTGTGGTTTTCAGTTCCGGATGAGAGGCCATATAGTTTAGCACAAGCTTCGAATTCATGTAATTTTGTTCGAGTGATGTACATACGAGATGGCGGCCGATTGACGATAACTGATCATTGGCAAGTAGATGCTTTGCGTACAATTGGAATGTACGCAAAATCTCATTATGAAATTCGAATTGTGTCTTGGCTTCATCACTAAGATCATCTTCAGAGAAGATAACAGTCGTGCGAAGAGTTACAGTATTCTCATTGTTTCTCACATGTTCAGGTGGTATCTCTCTATCCGATGGTTGTGCCATGTCCAGGGATTTTGAGTAGCGCCTTTCAACAGTAAGACAATAAATGCACAGAGTCATCGTTTGATATTATTCCAGAAGGGGAAGGAAAGATCAGAGAGTAAACATCCACAAACCAAAGAAAGTTTTCTCTTTGGAAGAAAGTGGTTAATTCTTTTTTGAAACTGCAGCAGAATCAATCTCTGTATTAAAAAACAGCTGATTTCCCATAAAATCTTCGAATAAGACTTTCTCTCTTTGTGAAAATAGATATTTATCTATGAAAAACTAGGGAGAAAACTATCTATTTTTCATATTTTTCTTATAATTACGCTGTCAAAAATCAAGAAATCTGGTAACAAGAAGTTGACGAAAATTTTCTGGTAGAAGGACTGAGTGCTAGTGAAAATTTACTGATGGAGAGCTAATTCTCCTCTCCCTCCTTCTAATCGTATATCAGGCCATTGTATTACTGGCACTTGACTTCAAAGGCTTTTAACACATGAAAGTAGGTTTTTTTCAAAAATTCCGAAAATGGAAGTGTAGTTGGCTTTTATCACACATCACGATCAAAAGTAGTCTTTAACAATATCAAAAAAAATATAGGCAAATTTCTAATTTTAGGTTTCATGGATCTTCCAGTAGCAGCAAACACTTGCATGGGCTCTTGTTTACGATCTTGTCTTTGTCTATCTGCTTACCTCTAAGTCGATATAACGAAAAATGATCTTCACTAGTGTGATGTGCTACAATGTAAGATAACAAACAACTAACTCAAAAGAATCGAACGAACAGGCAAAAACTCTGATAAAAAAAAGAGCTATTGAAGAGAATAATGTCGAAATCTGTTTGCTAGAAAAGCAAGATACGAATGCATGTTATCATTACAATCTCTGATAAAGACTCAAAGAATGTAAGTGAGAAGAAATAAGAAGATTCCGACAAAAATTGATAAGCAAAGATGCTTAAGTAGATGTTTTCATCACTGTTAGAGCTATCGATTTCTTATTACTCCACTTATAATTATTATCTCCAATTTCAATGAAGAGTATGATGTAAAATCACGTGAAATGAATGATTGCACAAATCGGAGATTTAATCCAGAGTGTGGCTGTGGCTTATACATGAAAATAAACATGGTATTTTTCCTATAGTAAATCATAAATGTTTGTTGAACAACAACATGTAATTAATGAAATCAACAATTGATTTATGTTTTTATTTAAACTTTTATAGTTTTAATTTATCATAGTACGAAAGTACATGAAATAATAATAATAAAACGAAAAAGAAAAAAAAAATTTGTTTTATTTTAACTTTTGTTAAATTTTTGATTCTATGTATACGGCCATCATCAGAACATATAATATAATGTATGAGAAATGATTAACTAGAACTAGTACCATCACCAAAAATAATAACAACAATAATGTCACGACTGATACTATAAATGTTTAAATAAAAACATTAATCAATGGTTGATCTCATTTATTATATGTTATTGCTCAACAAACATTTATGATTTACCATGTGGCTGTGGTTGTTAGTGCATGAATGTGGTCTGAGTCTGAGTCTTCGTTTCACTCATATTTGCATCTACATTCCGTTTCTTACTTCGTAACGACTTTTTACTCGTTGCATATTATTGGCTTTTACATACAGAAAAAAAATTGCTAGCGCAGCTCCTTAAGGGCTGAAGTGTGAAATTTACATATTCCTTATAAGCTACAATATAACACTACTTGCTAAGGTGTGTAATAGGAAGGGGATAGGGAGCCGCAAAAACATCAACCAAAAACTTTCACTCACTATTTTTCTTCGAAAACATATGTGAATTCCATAAAAAGTAGAAACAGACGAAGACATTCGGCTAGAAATATTAACATTTCTGCCGAAAAATTCTATGTGTACTAGAATTTATCCTTAGAGGGAAAAAGTAATATGATTGATATCTTCTCAAGTTTTTTTTGGACTTCTAATTAAAAAAAATAGAAACGAATGAATGATTTCTCGCTTGTATGGGTTCGATATGCTCTAGTGTGAATGATCTGATGTAAAGGATGTTGTTTTTAAAAAAAGAATTTCTGCTTCCTTTTTATGTATTGAAGCCTTTGTGCTTGAAATGGAATAATTTCCTGCTTTTAGGGATATTGTCCACTCCTCTTTTTTTTTCAGATTGGTTTTATTTTGTAGTAAATTGTCACTATCGACATTTTAGCAATCTAATAGTATTGACAATAGAGAAAGGCAAATAATACTTTCCTTTTTTACGTCAAAATTTTCTGTCATTAGCTCGAAAGAAGTTTTTCAGTGTTTATTTTCCAGATGATGCACGCCTTGTATGATGTTCATTTTGACTTTTTGAATAATATTACTATGCATATTAAACATTTGAATAAATATTGTTGACAAGGATAATAGATAATGACTGAAGGTTCTACTTTACTAAATTGCTTTTCAAATACATGAAAAAAAATGAAAACTATAATCAATATTTCTTTCCGACTTGTAGACGGTTGCTGAGATATAGCTGACATGCTGACGAGGGAAGGCAGCCAGTGAATCAGTCATTTTTGAGTTGAGACTATGTGCATCATGTAGTCCTTAATAAGCTATGAGTATTCTGAAAAGAGTTCGGGCTAATAGCTTATTGATGTCGAGATATTGCATTTTTAGAGTATTTTGTAAGAAAGTCCTCTGGTCCTCCTCAAAAACATCAGGAAAACTAATTTTCGAATTTCAGCTTTAAACTTTGTATAGAGATAGACCTTAACAAGATATTTTATTGTGAAGACTTCAGATCTTTTCGTAGTTCCTATCCTAAGATACGGCTATGTTACAAGCATGTATTTTACATCGCTCATATACACAAGCAGATTCGATATTCGTATTTCAGGATAGGAACAAATCAAAAGGTCTGAACCTTTCACAACAAATTATTCTCGTCAAGGCCTATCTCTGTGAAAAGTTTCAAGTCGAAATTCGAAAATCAATTTTTCTGATGTTTTTGAGAAGGATCATAGCATTTTGTTAAAAAATACCGTAAAAATGTAGTATCTCGGCATCAATAAGCTATTAGTCCGAACTCTTTTCAGGGTATTCATAGCCCATTAGGAACTACATGATGCACATAGTCTCAACTCAAAATCGATCGATCAGTTAGTTGTCTTTCCTGGTGAGTAGAACACAAAATCTAGATATGTAGGTAACTATCACTCAAAAATATTAAAAGTCCATCAAACTCAAATGGATTATAACGATATTTTGAAAGTTATATTCGTTCTTATATGTATATAGCGTCTCAATAATCAACTGATCTCATCATTGACCTAAATAGTGGTGTCACTTATGCCTATTTTCTTGGTCAAGCTTACCATGTTCGAAAGAATTCGATACATATACTACTGAAAACAACAAGTGTGTCATAGTTAGAAACCTACTTTGACCAAAACACTCGTCCTATGTAATTGAATAATTATTTTTTAACGAGAGGCATCATGGAAGATTATATTATCATTTCAAAATACTTCGTTGAGTCTGAAACAACAGCGCTGCAGAAGCTGAAACTCAAAACATTGCCATGGTACAACATAAATTTTTACGTCAACTAAACCATCACCGTTTAGAAATCAAATACTCTAATTGATCGTCTTTCACGACGATGCACAACACGATAGTCAATGTGAAATATTTTGTCTGTTCTGTTCTGCATTGCAACACATTGCATCAGATTTTGTAAGTATGCGAAAAGATACAAATAAAAAAGAAAAGATAGCAGCGAGTAGTTTCGATCTACCGCCCTCTGAGTTATGAGCCCAGCACGCTTCCACTGCGCCACGCTGCTTATATTGAAATCTTAAGTAAGAAGAAGTCGCGTTAGTATGGTTTTTCTCAGAATTATTGCATTCATGCGGATATAGTGTCCAGTCACAGTTCTTCTGGCAATCTCTTTATTTTACTTGTACAAGAACTTTATTTCTGCAAATAGCATTTAGCAAAGATTTCTACATCAGTTGGTAGAATGTATCCTCAAACTCAAAGAGCATTGAAATTGTGTTAACATCAAATTATGTTCATCATCGATATCTGTAGAAAGTCTATTACAATTTGTGCAGTTTTATTATAGCTCAAAGAATAAACTGAGGCAGTTCAGCAATAAATTTCTGAAATTCTAGCTTTTTAGCATTTCATCGGATCAAATTATAATTCAAAGTGGCTGCATACTGTTCTCTTATTTCCTCTTTAATTTTAGCTGAGTTTAGTAAAGGATCGAT